TTTCCAATCAATCTTGATTCACTCAGGGACCAGCTCAATACACAGTACCTAGCTATTACATAACGAGTTAACGAGAACGGATTAACATGTACAAAACCACAGACAAAGGAGAGGAAATAATCAATACAGACAATCAACTGCCCCAAGACAGACATGGTCAGTTGCCCAACCACCCATATCACAAGTTTTGCCTGTCAGCACCCAGAGGTGCAGGGCCCCCGAACACCCCTGCACCTATCTCCTCAACAGCTGGTAGGCTTTGTGGCCACAGCAGGGGCTAGCAGGCCTGCAGCTTTCATCCTACTGCATCTTAACACACAGTGTCACCCATGTCACAAGTTTTGCTTGTCCGCAGCTTGAGGTGCAGTTCCCCCCAAGCCCCTGCACCAGCTCTTTGAAACTTGGCAGGCTTTGTGGCCTCACCAGGGGCTACTACCTCTGTAGTTTTCACCCTCCTGTGGTGTAACATATGACATGAGTTTTGCTTTCAGGAATTTGGGGTGCAGTTCTTTCCAAACCCCTGCACTGATCTTCTTGAAACATTGCAGGTTTCATGCTCTCAGCAGCGGCTACCTCCCTTGCAAATTTCATCCAAATCAAACAAAAACCAACAAAGTTATAAATATTTCATTGATTCCCCATTATACCCTATGGCTGCATCTCCGAAGCGGCTCTAAAGCTTTTCCAAAGTGATTTGGAAGCTCCAAACCACTTTGTAAAGCCTAACGAAGCCAGCACTTTGATCCGGACATGCTGCTTTGGACACTGAAGCATCCGAAGCATCTCCGGATCTGAAGCATGGTCCGAAGCCTTGCATAGCCCTACTATATATGATGATTGATGTTCCACATAGTTGCTTTTGTTGTTGTTGTTTGGAGTTTGTGTAAAGCTGCAAGGCTGGATGGTGGCTGGGGTGGGGGGAAGAGGGAACTTAGCACGGTGCCTGGGGCATCCTGGGTTCTAAGCCTTTCAAAGTAAGCTTGGCTAAGGCACACCAGCAGAGTAAGCTTGGCTAAGGCACAAGTGCAGCAAGACCTAGAGGGGCTGGTGCTCCAAAAAAGCAGGTGGTCTGGGACTGGAAGTGAGAGGAGGCCTAGAGAGACCTGCGTCTGAAACCAAGGGGCTGATATCTAGGCACAGCCATTAGGGGTATGTGAAGCAGTCTGTATTCAATTCAGATTCAGATTCGGCTTCAGCCCCATTCAGAGGACAATGATTCGATTCACTGACTTGGATCACTGTGCCAATTTGATTCGGCTGAACTGAATCTAAAGATTCAATTCTGATTCAGAGAATCAGAGATTCAGCCAAAGACACCACTTTAAATGTTTTTTCTACGTACCTTAGGGTACCAGGCGCAGCTTGCAAACACTGAGATGATGGGGTGGATGGAGCTCACCAGGATGTGGGGAACTGAGCAGAACTGATATACCAGTTCCCTGCCACCGCCCTTGCCCTTCACTCTCAACCCACAGTCCTTCCAGTGCCCCTCACTCCTAACCAGTAGCCCCCGCCTGTCCCTACTAGCTCCTTCCTGGCATCAGGACATGAGTCTACCTGCAGCTGTACCACCCATGGCTTTGTGGCTCTGAGCAGTGCCAGCTCTTGCTGTTCTGCTCCCAGTGCCTGTGCCCAGGCCCCAGTGATCCCCATTCTGTTCATGGGAAGTCCTTGGCTGGGCAAGATCCTTCCCTTCCACACCTAGCCTCCCCCTGCACAGGCTGCTGTAGAGGGTCAGGAGGCTCTAAGCCCAGCTCTGGAGGCCTCTCCTACCCAGAACTCTCCCTGCATCCCTGACACCCATCAGGGCTCTCATGCTCAGTCCTCGCAGTTGCACATGACACAGGGAGTGGGCCTGGCCTGCTTGTTTGCACCTTCGGGCAGGACGGGGCCACTCTTGCTGTCACCTAGGATCTCAGCACTGCACACAGAATCTGTATGCCTTCAGGCCGGGCCAGATCCTGCCTGTATGTGCCCCACATGTCGTTGGGCTGGGCTGGCTTCATGGAGGCAGGTCCCGGCCCAGCCTGAGGGTGCACAGCTTCTGAGTGCAGTGCTGGGACTGCGAGTGACAGCAAGAGTGACCCGGTCCTGCCCAAGGGCATGCGCCCTGTGCCAGGTGCAGCCACTGGAGGTCTTTACCAAAAGTGGGCATGAGCGCCCCAACAGCTGCTACTGCTGCAGGGGGCAGTGTGCCATGTTGGGGTTTGGGCAGGGGACCCGCCCCTCCCACATAGTCTTCCGAACCACAGTCCCCCCTTCCACATACTCCCACTCACCTCCACAGTCCCCCGCCCCCACATCCGTACTTACTAGGGTCAGAGCTTGGGTCCAATTCACTGATGCAGCCTTGCCATACTCCTTTTTGCCCCACTACATTGAGACAGTGTGCTGGAGCAGCAGGGGCATCTGGCACCCATAGAGACTCTCTGGCCAGGTGCCAGAGTATCTCCTTGGAGGGCCCAGCCTCTGGTTGCCTCTGGGCATGCTTCAGGAGTGCACCCTGTGCCTGTTTTTTCCAGCATAGTTTTGTTTTTTTTTTACTGGGATTTCACTGTATCAGATTTAAGAGGGGAACCCTTTTTCATTCTTAGCATGCCTCTTGTGGCATCTCAAACTGCTTTGACAAACTCATGCACAGGCTCACTCATCTGGACACAACCGTCCTTGTCAATCTTGCCTATCAGAAAACTATTTTTTTCATCCTGGAACTTGTTGGGCAGTATGCATTAGTGGTGTATTTAGAACTTTTCCCCTTATGTATCAGATGAAGAGCCAAATTCTCAGGTGGTGTAACTTGCTGTGGCACCATTGACTGAAGTGAACGAATGACAGCTTGCACCATTTGAACATCTAGTTCAATGTATTTTGTTGTAGCACTTAATTCTGTACAGTCAAATGAGCTACATTTTATACTGGTAGTAGTTAACTTGGTCATCTAATTCTGCTTTAAGCTTGCATGCTTGGAAGGATAATGAGATGAATAAAAATATATACTGTTTTCTTCTATCTAGGTCAAAACCAAGGTCCCATCCAGCTGGCAGGCATAGTTTTATCACCCTACTACAATATAAATTCAAAATTTGCCAACTATTTCACTGTCAGAAGTTTCAGTTATTGGCACCAGGACCCCCGCCACCATTTTGAAGCACAGGAACATGTATACATGAGATGCAGAGGATAATTAGTACACTCCAGCAGACTCTATTACTAATATTCAAATGAATTATAAATAAGAAAAAAAAATCATCAAGACAAATATACATTTCCAAAACAAAGTTCTAGCAAGAAGTATGCAGTAGTTACAGTATTACAGTGCATTGGAGCAGCATCCCCACATATGTACAGGCACCCATTAAGTCTACTGAAATGCTGCTGCAATTGTCCCCATTCTTTTTTAATCTTCCCTCCACCATCTTGCTGTCATTCCCTTGTTGCTTCAGTACTTTCTATAAATTATAGTAGTTAGTTTTAGTAATAGATTATGCAAAATTCTACCATTATAGGGCAATTTCAGTACATTACTCATTGTTATATTCTTAAAGCTTAATTCATATGTCAAAATCTAATTGCTACAGATTAGCCATTGCCAACTGATTGGTTATATAAAATATATTTTAAAAAAAATAAGGAAAATCCTTTCTTAAATGGGAGGTCTGTTGGCTTTCAGTGATTTGCGAAAGGAGTTGCTGCATACTGGAGTCAATTTAAACTTACCAATTGTTTTACTATCGTAGGAACTGACTTGTGAAGACCAGGTGTGCCATCAAATATTTAAGAAGAAAATGTAAACTGACTGGAAATCCAAACTAGATTATCATCATATTCTTACATTTTCTTTAAAAAAAAAATGGAATCACTGCTTGTCCCTGCCATGTACATACAAAAACATATTGTAACAACAACATGGAAGCATTTATGTATGTTGTAAGGCTTCATGCTTTTCAATTTGGAGTTAAATAAAAATAGTTGTTCCAATAATAAGTTTCCTTCATTTTTAGAATCTTTGTAATTTTTCCAGAGGCAGGACAGCGAGTCCTTCCACAGCTGTGCTAGAAATAAACACTCACAATGGGCAGTTTTACACATGCAAGCACTGTAGTGCTGGGTGCTTTGAAAAGCACCCAGCACTGCGATGCTTGCAATTGCATAGGCAGCGAAATGTGCGGTGGTGCTGAGAAAATGGTGGCAGTGCACTTTTGACACCTTGGAGGTGCTTTAGTTCATAAGTGCACTGCCACCATTTTCTTCGTGCTTTGTGCATTTAGCTGCTTATACAGCTGCATGCAGCACAGCTCACCTCAGCTTCTGCATGGAGCAGACTCGATTTAATCAAGTCTGCTCCAAAGTGGCGAATCTCCGGTGTGTCGCGGGAAAAAAGTATGTGTATAAAGGAATGAAAGGGACCCATGAATGAAAGGGACCTGGAGGTTCATGTTCATAGACCACAGTATGAACATGAGCCAGCAGTGCAATGTTGTAGCCAGTGGGGCAAATAATACTCTGGCATGCATCAATCGCTGCATCTCCAATAAAACCAAGGAAGTGATTCTTTTGCTCTACTCAGCACTGGTGAGACCACAGCTGGAGTCCTGCATCTTTAGCAAGGACATGGACAAGCTTGAGAAAGTCCAAAGAAGGGCGACCCGTATGATCAGAGTCTTATATGGCAAGCCATACGAGGAAAGGCTGAAGGGTCTGGGACTCTTTAGCCTGAAGAAAAGAAGGCTGAGAGGGGACTTGATATCAGTTTACTGTTACACTAGGGGAGTACAGCAAGTGCTCAGTGATTAGCTGTTCACCAGGGCACCTGAGGGGAAAACTTAGAGTAATGGCCACAAGACCCTGGAAGACCAATTCAGGCTCAACATTAGGAAGAACTTCTTCACAGTCAGGGTGTCCAGACTGTGGAATAAGCTCCCTCCAGAGGTGGTGCAATCACCTACCCTGGAAATCTTCAAGAGGAGACTAGACAGTCACCTTGCTGGGGTCACCTGACCCCCAGTTCTCTTTCCTGCTTGGTACGGCAGCTGGACCCAATGATCTCCCGACATCCCTTCCGGCCCTACAATCTATGAATCTATGACAATGCCCAGTTATCTCAACAACAGTACATCTGTCCATGGTACTGTAAAACCACAATATGTTTGGATAACTGAGTGCAAATCTGACATTCACTGTACTTTCCTATTTAATTTAGTTCTGGATCACTATGACCATAGTTTCAAGCAACAAGATGGCTCAGACTGATAATAGGATACACAACTTCACATTTAGGTCACTCATTTGAATTTGGCCCGCATCCATAGCTACTGAAAATTGTTAACCATCTCACAACTGTTTGATGACCTTTGTGTTGATGGCTTTAGTACAGACAGGCATGCTGTACCACAAAATCCATTAACTTAATTAGAAATGTTTGGTTATCTCAAAAGAGGTCATAAGTATTGACCTAAGCTGTCAACTCAGGGGCTACTCCATACAGAATTATGCCTAGGGAACATTGACAGGGATTGTGTTTGGGAACCTATACAACCATTAGCAAGCAGGCCATAGCTAGTCCTCGCTCCTTTAGCAAACATATCTTTAAAGAAAAAAAAATATTTCCGTAACTCTGTGAAGGACCACAGGCTTTACTGTGATATTTCTGTTCACTGTGTTTGGCTGGTATAATATTGTACGCCTCAGGTTACCTGCTTAGCCTGTGCATAGAGAAGGAGGAAGTTAAGTGCCAATGCTGTCTACAGGAGAGACCTTTAGCATCGGCAGTTTTGAATAGCTGTGTTGGTATATCAACAAAGGTGAGGTAAGCATAACAAAAGGGAGAGCAGACTGGAAAAAACAGCCTGGCAGGTCTGGGGCTAAAAACGGAGAGAAGTTGGAAGACCTTGGGTGGAGTGAGAAAAGACTAGAAGTATCTTTGGGGTACTCAGGTCTGTGCAGACTGGACTGGGGATGGCGGGACTGCTTAACCCCTTTGGAGGGGACAGAGAAACTCTGGCTGGCTAGTCTTGCATTTACTGAAGAGACTATCTGCTGCACTGCTGGGAACTGTAGGTTGCACTTGGTCACCCCAAAAGTCCCTCTCTCAGAAACAGATCTGGATGCTAGCTCCTTGAGTCAGGGCCATGGAGAACTTGGGAGGGTGAGGGACCTTAAGGCTGGGGTCTCAGAGTGGGAAGGAGCTAAGACACCTCTTTGCTCTACGCTGACTTCCAGGATACTTTCCATGACCAGACAAGGCTCCAGCAGGCCTGAGCAAGCACCCCCTTGGAGGGTACTCTGGGTTTCTACAGCTTTGCTTCACTACCTGATGTGTAGTTTGTGTTATTTGTTATCCAACTATGAATGACAAGATCCATGTTTTAGTAAATTGGATCTGGAATCATGGAGCAAAATGCATGACCACATAGGTATCAGACTTCATGTATAAATCTGACAATTCTGCCCGTAACTATATCTGGACACCCAGGCACATCTAAGTACTGGGCAGGTACGGATGAACATTTTTTGTGAACTGAAGTTAGCATCAACTGGTGGAAATTGATCCTGTGTGTCTTGCTTTGGTTGATTTCTGATCAAAGACAGATGCTTTTCTGATCTAACAAAAGAGTAAACCATACATGTCCTGACTTTAGCCCACAGGGATATTGCATTCAGAGCTGGTAAACACCTTATTACTGGTTGAACCCTTATCTGGAATCTTCAGTGGAAACAGACACTAATTTCCTGCCTTGGGACCCCTGCTATATTCTTCTCTTGAAGGAACCACATGAAATGAATGTTCAAAGATTATTAAACTTTCAAAGAAATATAGAAATGAAGCAACTGCATGAAGAGTACATGCTTTTATTTTCTGAATACTAATTTCCAAATTTAGCACTTCCCAGGAAAAAAAATTGAGCTTCACAGCATCAAATAACTTGACATCAAATCAAAAAACAAGGGAAGGGACATTACATTTCCACATATTGTGGTCATTACTTTAAAAATAATAAGCATTGAGTTTTGAGAATAAGAAAACCAGCACTGTTCAGCTGACTTCATATTTATGCTTATGGTTCAGAGTGTTCTTGGTGCAGGCAAGTATACCAGATGGACATGAGTGGCATGTAAATCAAGGATGCATAAGGGAACTTTTAATTTTTAAAAGAGCACTGATCAGGAAACTGGATCTGCTAGTTGAATAGTATTACCTTCATGCACAACTTCTGGAGCCAATAGTTTCAGGCATATGAAAATGGTGAACGCAAACGTGCAGTTAGGTTTTCTATACTGCAAAACAAGCCCTTTCTTCCTGCTGCCTCTGAACCAACTGTACACTTTTCGACATGCAAGAACTCTTAACATGCTTTAGAATTGTATGCTCAGCATTGGAGACAGACGAGGAGTGATCCATTGTGCTGTGCTGCATTTACTTGCAAAAGTACACTAATTTATACAATACTTGCTATGTTAGGTTGGTCTCCAAGCCGCTCAAAGTCCCTTATCTCCCTCTCTGCAGGTAAAATACAGCACTGAAAGAAAGAACCTTGCTGGTAAATCAGAGAATGCTCATTCAGAATTCCTCATCTCTTGGGCAATACAGTATTGTCTCAACTGTTTTGAGGGGCTGTCATTTGCACTTCATTCTGTCTGCATAATGCATATTATTTAAATCTAGTTGGAAAGGAGGGGTAGCTACCAGCAACCTCCTGACCCAGGGAGCTGAAGAGGGATTGTACTGTAGTGAAAACATTTCCTGGTAGTTTGAGTATAACTCTGAGGATCAGTAGAATTCCCTGCCCACCAGATAGAAATAGCACTGGTATAAGAGTAGAGCATTTTAGGCTCACAGCACTGGCCTAAACTTTGCTCCCATAAAAAGTCATGGGGCATTTTACTGTCATCTTTCGTACACATCCATCCTTCAGACCACTACCCTTTTCTGCTTGTACGTGTAGGCACCAGTGATACTGCCAGGAATGACATTGAGCAGATCAGAGGTGACTATCAGTCTCTTGGCAGCAGGATTAAGGAACATGGAGCAAAGTGGTGTCCAATTCTTCCCAAGGAAGGCAAATGTCCAGGCAGGCACCATTGTCCAGGCAGGCACCAGGCTGGCTCTCAGCAGCCAGGAGCAGGGAGAAGAGGAGGGATCCAGGCACACGTGTGTCCCGTATGTACATGTGCCCCCTTACTTGACCTGAAGCAGAGGTGAACGTAGCAGCAGCAGAGCCAGCAGCGGGGGCAGCAGCAGATGAACCCCCTAAGGTAAGTAGGGCAGAGGGACCGACGCAGCTGGGCCGGATCCAGAGGGGTAGCCCCCCCAGATCCCTCTTAACTGAGCTGGTAGGGAGCCACGTGAACAAAGAGCGCAAACAGGAGGGGGACTAGGGGGGACTGTCCCCCCAAGCCAGGGAGCACCTCCAGGGTTAACCCTTGGGGAGCAGGCTCAGGAGGCACCGGATCCCCCCAGCGGGGGAGCGTAGGGGGCGGGACTGCTAGCAGGCACTTCCAAGAAGACCGGAGCACCTGATTGGCTGTTGAGCCAGCGGCGGGAATTTCAAACTGCAGCCTTTAAAAGCCGTGGTTTGATGTAGCTCCCAGCACTCGGGAGCCAGGAGCAAGGAGAAGAGAAGGGATCCAGGCACACGTGTGCCCCGCACGCACGTGTGCCCCCTTACTTGACCCGAAGCAGAGGCGAATGCAGCAGCAGCGGAGCCAGCAGCGGGGGCAGCAGAAGCTGAACCCCCTAAGGTAAGTGGGGCAGAGGGACTGACGCGGCTGAGCCAGCTCCAGAGGAGAAGCCCCCCAGATCCCTCTTAACTGAGCCGGTAGGGAGCCGCGCGAACAGAGCGCGCAAACAGGCGCGTGAACAGAGCACGTTTGCGTCAGCATTCGTGCCGGGGGGCGAGCAGGAAGGGCCAGGAGGGAGACTCCTGTTAGCGCAGGGTGAAGGCACCGCACTCAGCCAGAAACAAGTAGCAACTCCTACGATG